GCCCCTCAAGGAAGGTTCCTTGACGCTGGTGAGGGGCTCTTGATCTAGGGAATTGGATCCGTGCTGATTCCCTGAACTGAGCCTGAATACCTTCCACCCCCACATGCGCTGTATAATCCTACGGGTTTAGCGCTCCCCATGACTATAATAACATGTATATGCGTATAGTATTTGTAATCGTATATGAAAGTATAGTGTTTACTTTCTCTCTATATTTTTATTTTACGAATAGTTCCTATTTTTCAGCTGACAAAATGGATAATTACATTGGAGTTGGTGAATGCTTGCTCTTATCTTGCGTGAATGGTGTCATCTTTGCTCTGTTCGCCGCTCAACCACTGCTGATTGTAGGCGCCACCGGTCCTCTTATGGTCTTTGACATGAGTCTTTACCAAGTGAGTTTTTCGGTATAATGATATTGTTAATAATATATATTGGTAATTTGCGAATGGGCTGAATAGTCGTTTAAAGTTTACCTCCAGTCAGTGGGTTAGTTGTCGTCACATGTCACTATAAGCATAGTAACTTGCTTATTTTTCTGCTTGCCCACAAACTGAGATAAAACTAGACGTATCAGTTACGGTAATGTAACTTATATGTTCCATTAATTTTCTGTTTTAAAAAGCATTATTAATCTTAATATAAGAATAATAAAAAATATTAAATAGTCTTTCTTTCTAGTTTTGCCAGACAAATGAAATTGATTTCCTGTCCATGAGAGTGTGGATTGGCATATGGATGACGGTCATTGGGTTATTAGTCGTTGCTGTGGAAGCCATAGCTCTTGTGAGGAAGTTCACCAGGTTTATCGAGGAGATTTTTGCTTCCTTAGTTTGCATCATCTTCGTCTACGAGGCCATTACAAATATGGCGGCTATCTTTTATGACCATCCACTCTTGGAGGTGTATAGCTGTGGATATTATCCCTCAAATACAACATCTTATCCTAATACAACGTAAGTAATCATTGTTTGCTTCCATTTTTTATGACAGAACCTTTAATATGGGAAAACACGAACATGGAGTATCGAAAGTAGTAAAGGCTTTAGGATATGCCTTTGAATATAAAATGCACTTACGGTCTCTTTTAGTAAGCTAATACTGCTTTACTGCTCCTTTTTATCTTAGTGTTTCGTGTCTTGATACCATAATGCTGTTTGAAAGTATGAATAGATATGCACGTCAATTTATAAAGATAACTGCAATACGAACGAGGAAGATATTTGTACTCAAGTTTTCCATCATAATTTTTGCTTGTTTCAGAATGGAAGTCGGGTTCGATAACATCAGTGATATGTCATTGCTTGACACTGTTAACGGCAGTATCATCGACAGTGAGGACGGCAGTATCATCGACAGTGTGAACGGCAGTATCAGCGTTAGCGTCAATAGCACTATCAAGAAAGCTATGAAAAAGCGCAAAATGAACCCCCAGCCCAACACTGCTCTCCTCTCTCTCATCCTCATGCTGGGAACCTTTATTATTGCCATTAAGCTCAAATACTTTCGTAACTCTAAGTATTTAGGCAGAGGCGTAAGTTCCAATTTATTATTTATAAGTTTAACACCCATCAACTGCATCAAATAGATCTACCAGGGATACTTTAATTTTAAAATCGGGATTAAAGTACGTACTTTGATGGTAGGCTACGTACAGTTAACTTGTTTCGTTAGGTTTAACACCCACCGACTACATAAAGTAAATCCACCAGTGATACTTAATTTTAAAATCGGGATTAAAAAAAAGCACACTGAAGTCTTGGGGCTAAAGCTCTCGCTTCACACACGGAGGGCTCGGGTTCGATTCCCGGCGGGGCGGAAACATTTTGACGTGTTTCCTTACACCTGTTGTCGTTCACCTAACAGCAAATAGGTATCTGGGTGTTAGTCAACTGGTGTGGGTAGCATCCTGGGGAACAAGATTGAGGACCACAATGGAAATAAGACAGACAGTTCTCGATGACGCACTGACTTTCTTCGGTTATCCTGGGTGGCTAACCCTCCGGGGTTAAAAATCCAAAGAAAATCTTATCTTAAGGCTATATACAATGAGAAAGTAATCTCGGTGTAGATTGATTCCCTTGATTTTTTTACGTTTTATGCTATGGATATAATACGAATTAATAACATGGTTGCATCTGGACATTTTAATTATAGGAAGTTGGATTATGTTTGTTTAATCATATTTCAGGACACATGCACTTTTGTTTTAATGAATTAATATTGCAGACCCAGTGAGAAATGACGTATTTATGATTATATGCAATAATTCGCTGGCAGTTTGTAAAACATTTCCTGATAAAAAAATCATGAATGCTAATCTAAATAATGAATTTGCCTTCATATATCAACATATCGTAGTTGTTAAGTAAGACACATGTGTGACATGCATCTGTATTCCGAAACGTTTCGCCTACACAGTAGGCGTCTTCAGTTGAGTGTGATAAATGGTTTTGAAAACCGACAAGTTGAAGATTGAGACACTTATGCAACATATGGGAATCTTTATTGAAGAAACGTTTCGCCACAGTGGCTTCATCAGTCCAGTACAAAGCAGAGAGGTGTAAGAAGCGGAGGAGTTTGAGGTAATCAGTCCCTCAGCCTGGAATAGATGTGTTCAGTCCGTCACTTACACTAGTTGATGGTTCCATTGTGAACCCGCCTCCTCCTGCTTCCACTCACCCGACTGCAGTATATAAGCTACCTCTTTGGTCCTATGCTGTACTTTCTACAAGAGTGATGGACTGAACACATCGATTCCAGGCTGAGGGACTGATTACCTCAAGCTCCTCCACTTACACCTTTCTGCTTTGTATTGGACTGATGAAGCCAATGTGTGGCGAAACGTTTCTTCAATAAAGATTCCCATATGTTGCATAAGTGTCTCAGTCTTCAGTCGAGTACAGAGACGGCAACGGTGATATGCAGAAGATGTAATCAGTGATGCACTGATTACATCCTCATAATGATACCTAACTCTTGCACATGTGTCTTACGTATCAACTTTTCGGTACTGTGTACCCTTATCATATTCATATTGTAGTCGTGTTCGCACATTCCCTGTTGAACAGATCCGTCGCTCTCTGGGAGATTTTGGTGTTCCTATCGCCATTTTTCTCATGGTGCTGCTAGATTATCTCATCAAGGACACTTACACCGACAAGCTCACTATGCCTGAAGGTATACAGCCCTCCAACCCTGCAGTCCGAGGCTGGTTGATCAACCCTATGGGCCAGGAGAAGCCTCTGCCTATTTATTGCATATTTGCTGCAGCTCCCGCTTCTATACTCGTCTTTTTCCTCATCTTTCTCGAAGAAAACATCTGCCAGTAAGTGGTGGTTAAAAAAAGTTCTTCGAGTCTTAGTATATAGGTACATATACAAGCCTGCAATTACCATGGATAATTTTTATGTAAAGGGTACATAAAAATTCTTTAAGGGTACATTAAAATTCTTTATATAATCTATGTGCTCGACGTCTTATTCAACAAAACTAATAATGCATTATCTAATTCTATACATAACAAACTGTTCAATCTTAACAAAGTTGTTATTTTCTATCATTTTATCTTCTAATTTATGAACCGGAGATCCAGAACTACAGTATTCGTTATTTTCTCCTGGTTTGAGCAGCTTGATAATGTTCTTATTTCCTATTTCTTGTGGCATTTTTGATTTTAAGCAAGCCAGAGCGTAAGATGGTAAAGGGATCAGGTTTCCACTTGGCCCTTTGTTCTATCGTGCTTCATCAACTCCTCTCGGGGCTACTAGGCGTTTCCCTTATGGGTCCGGCTTGTGTAAGGACTGTGTCACACCTGCGGGCCCTCACTATCACTTCCTCTGCACGCGGTCCTGGAGAATCGCCCTAGGATTGAAGGTGTCAGAGGTATGTACGGTAATCTTTAAAAACCACAATACTCTAGCTGGGACAATTTATAATTGACTCACAAAATAAAAAGATAGTAAGCTATGTTTCCGAACTGTGGAAAAAAAAAAAGAAATTGCAGTATAATGTTTATTCATTATTTTACATTTGTTGGTTTTTTTTTCTCCATGTCAGTATTTTATACTATTTATCCAACGTTTCCCTCCATCGTGGATAGTTATCGTGACTTATACTGTTCAAGGAATTCATGTCTGCATAGATAACCTATTACTATTGTAACATATAAACGTAAACAATTCATTATCACTGTCACTTGTTTAAGTATCTTTTTTTTTATATTTTATTGAAAAGACATACATAGTACATAAAAATAAACGACAAATTACATAGTGAAAACAGTGATGAAAAATTCTGCATAGTACATGTACTTTCCAATTAACATATTACATCTGAAAGACAAATCTGTACAGTAAACAATGACCACTCCAATCCTTGAAGTAATGACATTATGTCTGGAACACTAAATCTAACCTAAAGACTCCTTGGCAAGTACATCTAATTCCTGATTGTACATTCTGCCACGGAATGTACACCTTACATTCTGAAAGCACTACCCCCCCCCCTTCTTGCGTGTCAAGCCACCCGACACGTACAATCTTTATATGTAACTGTATATTGTATGAAATACTTTCATTTTCCATATTGAACAACATGATACGTTTAGTATCACTCAATGTATTGAGTATATAAAAATTCAATTCTACATGATTCATGTAAACGTATATCTACTAAACACCCAAACATATCACCTTCTCCAGGAAGGTATAAATATATACATATGTTACAAACACTTTACAACACAAACCCGTGAAAAACAAATACCTAATCCCATGTCATCCATCAATTACCCTATAATATTATCAAATTTAATGGTAACCTAAACCTACGGGCTCTTTTAGAGCTCCATGAAAAAACAGTATGTATTAAGAAAACAGGATAAGTCAAGCTTTCTAAAAATATTTCGCCCATATCAAAAAAACCACCAAAGATGAAGTCTGTTTTCCAAAAAACAGTGCATGACCTTCACACGTCGATAAATACTAAAGCTTCCTACCACAGCAATACTTATGTCTATTTAATTTCGCTTCCACAGTGCCCCATTTTGTCATTTCTTTTACACACATACCAAAAATTTTTCTTTTGCAGATATAAAATATTCCATCACATTACGACGTCTGTCGTCCTTTGTCTTTAGCATAATTAATAATTAAATTGAAGACAGTATCGTTCAAAACACAAAACCCCCCTCATACGTCAAAGGCTTTTATGTCTCATACTATATTCTTCTCTTCCACCTAAACCCTTTACACTGTCCTCATGGGGAACCCCAGCCCCCCGCCCCCCTTTTACATTGCAACTTAAAATCCCAAAAACCCCTAAACCCTAAAACCCCGAAGCCCTCGTAAACGCATTCCCCCAATTTCCCCCCTAAATTTTTTTACGACACTTAGTTCTGTAAAAGTCGCAGCAAAACCCTTATCCTCTATCCACCCCCACCCCCCTCATGGCCCATGACTTTAAAATTAAAATCCGTCCCAAAATACGCCACTGCATTCTCCACCATCTTACTACCCCCCCTATATCCAAACTTAAAGCCCGCAACCCCTGCAATCCCCCCCACCACTAACTGAACCTTTCCTAACCAGACCCGCCCCACTTTATACGTCAAAAAAATATACCGCATGCAAAATTGTCTCCATGCTTCCACACGCTCACTTTCCCCCCCCTCCCTTACCCTCCTTTTGAATGGGAAAAACCCAGCGGAAAAAACCATGTAAAATTAAACTTACCTCCCAAACCCCCGTTTTACGTAATTGTTTTAGACGCGTCCATTTTTCGTTCCACGCAAATAGGGTTGCCCTTCAACAGCAGCCCCCCACTGCCCTACCTTCCACTCCTTCGAGGACCCGCTTTTTAAACACGAGGGATCCCTACGTCATTAAAACCCTAACGGGCCCTCCCCAACTATTAAAAATCCTACCCCCCACCACCGTTGCTATCCTTACTACTCGAAAGTCCCCTCCCCCCCCCCGCACCCCCCCCTTATTAACTTCGTTTTAGGTTACACGTATCACCCTTTTTTTCCCAGAGGAAAAAAGTCCCACCCTCCTCGCTGCCCGAAGTGTTAACCGCTCTATTTAAACCATTCCACCCCGATCCCCATATAAACTAAAAATCCTTTTGTAAACGCTTCACCCAGTTCTCAGGGGTACTGACAACGACACCCCTATTTTGGTGTACATAGCACGTTCGTACTATTATCTTTAGCAGCTTTAGTTGCGCCCCCTCAAACCAAGTTTTTAATACCCCATTCCTTTCTCCCAAATTTCACCCTTTTGACCCCGTGTTTTCTCCATAAATTATCCCCATATATTAGTTGTCCACCCCCTTTCCACCCCCCCTCCCACCTCACCCCATTTGTACTATCCCTTAAGTCTAGAAATTAGTCTTCTCAACATTAATTTTCATCCCTGAACCCCCAAACACATCCCCCCCTTCCCCCCCAACAAATCCCATTACCTCTCACCAAAACTCGTGTCTCCACATAACCTAGATCCCAGCCCCCCCCCCCCCGGTTCGTACCTCCCCACCCCCCGCAACACACCTCCGAATGGCCCTATAAAATGGATCCGTATACACGAAAAACAATATTGTGATAGGGGGCAGTTTGGGCGCAGTCCCCGTGCATTGTTTTTTAACCCCCACCCCCATTAACCTGCCCCCTAAAATCATCCCCCCGATACAATAATTTTGCCCAAGATATTTTTCTTCCCCAAAACCTTGCCAACGCAAAAACCCCCAAAACGCTTCCCTTTCACACTATCATAAGACCCTTTCCCAATCTAAGCCAATACCCCTCCTCACCCAACCCCCCTGTTTTTAAAAATTCTCGAATCATCCCATCCCCTTTACATTCCCTTCCGGGACCCCCATTTTGCCCTTATAAATTACCTTGCCTATTACCCTCTTGATTCGCCCCTAATTCTCGCAAACAACTTATAATCTCCACACTAAGCGAAAGTGCCGTAACCATTCCGTTGTCCCCCCTTTCGGCCCCAACACCAAAGGGCCGTCCGTTCTGTTCCCCCTTAACCCTCAGCCCCCTTTAAGTATTTTAAACACCCTTACTAAAAAAAAACCTCAAAACCCCCCAATTCTTTACGTAGAATAATTTTTGGCAGTCCTCATACCGGCGTTTTCCAAACTCTCCTGACAACGCCTGCCAAATCCACACCCCCAATGGGCCCCACTAATGTCACCCGATCTTGACCACAGTCACACTGCAATACCCCCATTTCCCTCAATCCCCACCCCCGGGGAAGCCCACACTTTGGTAATGACTTAAACCAAGCGTCTACTTTTCCACTCATACCCCTGTCTTTACCAATGCTTGCCCGCTTATCCTTATCCCTACATGTCTTTTTAACCCCACTTTCCATCGAACTCTCCCTTTTTTGGCCTCTTAACACGCAAGCCGACGGCCGGTAAACCCCAACCTTTTTTCCAATCCCCCCATAATTCGCACCCATCAAAACGTCGTTTTGCAATACCCTATACTTCCTTTAAACCCTCAATGTCCTCATGGAAAAGCTTGCTCCTCCTCTGCATAACAGTCCCGCAGCTGCCTTCAAGATATCTTTAAAACCCCAATATTTAACGATTATCTTCCCCCCACGACAAAATAATTTCTCTGATACGTTTTTTTACCACCGAATCCCACCAATTTCCCAGTTCATCACCCCCCGGCCCCTCCCCACCAACGTTCCACAAAAGCGCAAAGACTGACGAATTCCCCCCTGCAAAAGTTCCAAATTTTAAATTCCAATAAACCCTTTACCCTTCTAGGCAATCCTCCCATTCTAGGTCCACTTTTTCCCCCTGTGATCCGAAAAAAAACCCCGGGCCACCCCGCACTTCCCACTATTTCTGTTTGGGCACATACAATCGATCCCGCTTTCGCATATCCACGTTAAAAAAGTATGTTCTACAACCCAACCCCGTCCAAGTATTTAACCCACTCCCTTTAAAAAATTCCCCCAAAAAACCCCCAAAAAATACCCCCCCTCTAGGTTCCACATCCTTTCGCCTTATCACACAAATTCCCAAACACCACCAAAATTTCAGCTCAACCCCCAAAGCACGCAAATAATTTTCTAAACATCCTTCACAAATTTATTTTTTTATACCCCATTCCCCCTGCTGGGGCCATCACACAACCAAATCTCTGTACCTACCCCACCACCCCTCTACCGAATCCCCTCCCCCCCCCCCCCTCAAATGCCTCTACGCGGGATTTCCCTTACCAGGTGGCAATCCTCCTTCAACCTTATCGCATTTCTCCACAACACTTATCCCATTTACCCTTTAACTCAAAACCCGGTCTGTAGTTGTGTTCCTGCCGAACACCACGTCAA